TTGCTGCTGACCCTGGGGTCGGCGCTGGTGGTACTGGAGCCACTGGTCCTGGAGGTGCTTGTACTGGCGGTACTGGAGCTGCTGGGACTAGAGGTGCTGCTGGGGCTGCTGGAGTTGGTGCTGCTAGAGGTACTGGAGCTGCTGGTACTGCTGGGGGGACTGGAGCTGCTGGGCCTGGAGGTGCTCCTCGTGCTGGAGCTATTGGCGGTGCTGGAGCTGGCGATCCTGCAGGAGTAGGTGCTGGTGGAGCTGCTGGAGCTGGAGCTGCTGGGGGTGTTGGCGCTGGTGCTTCTGAGGGTGCTGGAGTTGGCGCTGCTGGAGCTGGAGATGCTGTTGGCGCTCGTCCTGCCGTTGGGGGTACTGGTGCTGTCCCTGCCGCGGCCATACTTCTTTCCGCTCCTTAGGGTTGAGCAGGTTTTTGGTCTTCCGCCTTCTACTGGTCCTGCTCCTCCCTTAGAGTGTCCACCGCCTGTCCAGTCGCAGTCACAGTTACAGCCCGCCTCCCCCCTACCTGCTCCTTCTCCCTACACTGGTCCTACTGGAGGTCTTGCTGAGCATCGTGAGCCTGCGTCTCGTCCTGCGTCGCCTGTTTGTGCTGCTCGCACTAGTAGTCGTGTTCCGCGTCCGCGTCCTCCTGCGGTGCCAGGCACACACCAGATGGCACTGCGTCCTTCCACTGCTCCTCTGCGTGTCCCGTTGCCGTCTCCTCCAGAGTCCTCTCTTCCTGCTCTTGCTGACCCGGAGTCTACCTCTCTTCGTGCTGCCAGTCCTACTGTCACGCGTCTCCTGGCTACTGTTGTTACTGACCCTTCCTTTGAGTCCACTGCTGCGTCTGCCTTGGTTGCTGAGCTTGTCGACTTTGCTGCTCGCTGTCGTCTAGACTACGCTGCTAGTCTTGTTGCTGAGTCTGAGTCTGTCTGTCCTCCGTCCGTCGGGGGTGAGTGGGCTCTTAGCACAGACATCCTTGAGGATAGGCAGGAGGAGTTCCAGTGTTTTGCTGCTGCTTTGCCTCATCTCGTGTCCACGCTGATTGCCTCTGAGGGAGACCCGGGTGCACCAGACATCACGACTCCTCGATCGTACGCTGAGGCGATCGAGGGTCCCTACTCCTCACAGTCACAGTCAGCCATGGACGCAGAGATGGCTTCCTGGAAGTCCACAGGCACCTACGTTGACGAGGTTCCCCCACCTGGGGTGAACATCGTCAGTGGCATGTGGATTTTCAGGGTGAAGCGGCGCCAGGTTCTCCACCAGTCTTCAAGGCGCGTTACGTGGCTTGAGGCTTCAATCTGCGGTAGGGAGTTGACTACTTTCAGACCTTCTCTCCCACCCCGAAGATGACCACTCTTCGGGTGCCGTGCACATAGCCGCTCAGCGCGACTACGAGCTTCACTCTCTTGACTTCAGCACAGCTTTCTTGCAGGGCAGCCTGCATGAGGAGATCTGGCTGCGCCGCCCACCTGGCTTCACTGGGTCGTTTCCTCCTGGTACCCAGTGGAGCCTCCGGCGGCCAGTCTACGGTCTCCGCCAGGCGCCCCCTGAGTGGCACGACACACTGAGGACTACACTTGCGGCTCTTGGGTTTGCTCCATCTACTGCCGACCCGTCGCTGTTTCTACGCACCGACACCTCTTTGCCGCCGTTCTACATCCTCGTGTACGTAGATGACTTGGTCTTTGCCACTGCTGACACTGCTGGACTCGCCCACGTGAAGTCCGAGCTGCAGAAGAGATACACGTGCACAGACCTGGGTGAACTGCGCAGCTACCTTGGCTTGCAGATCACCTGGGACAGAGCACAGCGCACCATTACCCTGACTCAGTCATACATGGTGCAGCAGGTCCTTCAGCGCTTCAACTTCACGTTCTCCTCGCCTCCGGCCACTCCTCTTTCTACTCGCCACTCGCTCTCAGCTCTGCCTTCGGATGAGTCCGTAGTGCCGAGTGGCCCGTACCCAGAGCTTGTTGGCTGCCTCATATACCTGATGACCTGCACACGACCTGACCTTGCATACCCTCTTAGCATTCTCGCACACTCTGTTGCTCCTGGGAGACACCGACCAGAGCACATGGCTGCAGCTAAGAGGCTGTTGCGCTACTTGTGCAGTACGTCGGGCATGGGGCTAGTGCTTGGAGGGCGGCGTTCAGTGGTCCTCACAGGTCACGTAGACGCTTCTTGGGCTGACGACCAGGCTACGCAGCGGTCGTCACAGGGTTACACCTTCAGCCTTGGTTCCGGCTCTGTTTCGTGGCGGTCTACCCGCTCGTCTTCTGTTCTCGGCTCCAGTTGTGAGGCTGAGATCTACGCGGGGGCCATGGCTGCACAGGAGCTACGCTGGCTCACCTACGTGCTGACTGACCTAGGAGAGCCGCCTCGTTCTCCTCCAGTTCTGTACATAGACAACAAGGCCATGCTGGCCTTGTGTCGGGAGCACAGACTGGAGCACAGAACGAAGCACATTGCTCTTCGCTACTTCCTTGCTTGTGAGCTACAGCAGCGTGGTCAGCTGCGCCTTGCTTACGTGGCCTCTCAGGCCAACACTGCTGATATCTTTACCAAGGCACTTCCGCCTTGTGATCATCAGCGCTGCTGTACGATGCAAGGTCTTGTGCCTACTTGGCCTCACTTGCTCACTTCTTGACCTTTCTTGTACTGTTTTCTATCTATACCTGCACTTGCTTGTTTGCCTTTATATGATCTTGCATGCGAACTGGCCTTGTGGCCTTGAACTTGTGCTCGGAATGTGTGGTGACGTTGTGATCCACCCTGAGCTTACTATGCTTTGCTTGACTGGTCTTGTGACCTCTTGTTCTCCCCCACTTTGCCTATGGGGGTGTGTCAAACTTATATGCTATAGTCTGTGTAGGCTGTAGTGGGGTAGACAATATGGGGTACAACACTTTTAGGTTTTCCTACTTGTACCCACCTGTTTCCTAGTGCATTCATTCTTCATTTCTTCACATGTGTCTGGTTTGTAAATGTTCCCAAGTCAGCAACATTGTAGTCAATCTGTTGGGTCCTGGGCTCGGCATGGGAGGTAGGTACGGGGCCTTACGAAATTGCCTGTAGATCCATTGTATTGAGAAGGTAGCTACTCCAAGCCTAGCTTCGAAGTATCCACTTCCTTGCCTGATAGGCCAAACCAACTTTTGCAATTTTGGGATGCTGGTCCTCCTGCCAAAGTCTCCGTCCCTTCGTTTGGCCCCCTCCCTCCCTGTTGGGTGCAAAACTTATTTTGCACGTCAACCTGTCGCCTATTAGTCGAGCGATGTGAAATTTGAAGGTATCTATTTTGACGTATTTTATGTAGTGTGGAATGCGTATTTTTATACTGATCATTGTGGCGTTTACGGTTTGTGAATCGCCCTAGCGGTTCATGAGTTATGTGCATTTTAGTGTGAGGTTGCATTCATGTGTTTTAATGATTGTTCGTGTGAATTTCGTGCTGTTCGTGTTGCGTCATGAAGGTGCGTAAAGTTCAGAGTGATCATGTGCTTTCGTGAGCCTTCGCGTATTCATGAATGTTTGCGTGATGTTCGTGCGAGCGCTCATGTTCGTTCATGTGCGTTCATGTTTGCTCATGACCGTTTATGTTTCGGTCATGTTGACTTATGTTTTGGTTCGTTTATTTTTCATGAGTGTTCATTGTGTGAGTCGAGTGTGCCGGGGATGTGGGGCTCGATCTTTGACCAAGCCCTTTGACTTGTCTCGAGCTGGTAAAAAAACGCGCGACTGTCAGGACCCGAGCGTGAGGTCCTGACATGCGCGTGTGGGCCCTCAGGCCCACGCGTGTGGCTTCGCACCGTTGCGCGAGGGCACAAGGCCCATGATCGCAACGTCACAACGCACGTTTGTGTCTTGTACAGCACGACCGAAATATCGGTCGTGCATGATTGCGCACGTGAGGGTAGCGCGTGTGTTTCAGGGGGTGCCGCGGGATCCTGAGGGGTGCTCGGGATTTGACTCGAAATTTCAGTTGAATCACTGAAATTCGAGTCTTGTCTTTTGTGACGTGGCACAAGGACATTTCGGCAGAAGCTGAGCATTTAAAGGTAACGGTTTTACTACAGGTACGAAACGGTGAAAAACCGTTTTACAACTGTAAACAGTGGGAAAACGGAAATTTCCACCCTAGCGTTCATGATTCCACGTGTGCGTTCATGATCGTTCGCTAGAGGAGTCAGCAGGGGCATTTGGCAGACATGAAAGTTGAAGACAGTTATTTCAAGGACTCGGATCAAGCCAAATGCAGCGGAAGTTTGGCAACCGTTTTTCCAGACAGCAAGGCGAAGTCCTAGAGATACAGTTAATCAACCGTTTGCTATTTTCCTCTGCATGTGTGCCAGGCGAAATATATATGCGTGCTTGTGCGAAGTTGTCATGCACACTTTGTGAATGAAAATTGCTCTATCATCGTATTGACGTGAAGAGCTGATTCTGCATACGAGCCAATTCGTCGTCAACGCTGCGCAAACGAGCTTGGGAGCGTTCTAGTGCACGTGATTGGATTTACACTTAGTACGTCCCTCGACAAACATGGACCCTTGGTTAGGGGCTGGCTTTGCCAGGCACCCGGGCACCCTTGGAGGTGACCCCGTGGGGACTAACTAGTGTGTATTAAAAGCGTGCTTAGAGCTTCTAGATCCCATATACTAGTCAACACTCCCCACTCCACCCACCACAACCAATCACAGTTTGCGAATCGCTTGTGCGCTAGTTGTAGTTTTGCACCAATGAGCGGTGACCGTCTCCGCTCACGCTCATACTGTGAACCACCAGCTGAGGAGATCCAAGCTTGGCCATTCCCATCGCCTCCCAGACTCCCACTTCCAAGTAGTACTGATGGAGTTTGGAGTGTATTTCAAGGGCCATCTTCGAGCACCTAACAGGAGTCCTCTGCGTCAGACGCGTCGTCGTTCTTAGGCAACTTACTCACACTCCGCACTCGACGCTCTCGGTGTGCGATCTACTCTTGTCGGGGGACCCCATCTTTCTTCGCTATGGGGAGGATGACTCTGGGTGCCTCTCCTGCCGGCCTCTTGCTCCTCGCCGCGCTCGCCCTCATTTGCAGTCAGTCTACTTTAAAGTTCCTGCTCTCGTTTTTATCGAACCCCTTCTCAACTGTCTCTTCTTGTTTCCTCCTCTTTCTTGCATGATGTGGCATTGTTCACGCATAGCTCATGAAGGATATGTCAGATTATAATGCATGTCTAGTCTGTAGTGGGGTACTCAAAAGTGAGTATAACCCTTTTAGGGCTTACTACTTGTATCCCCCTCCTTTCTAGTTTCACCATTCTCCTTCCATAATTCTCTCGACATTTTTCCTTACACCCTACACCCTCGAACTTCACCAAGTCACCTAAGCTACTATGGCTCCTAAGCCAAACTCTCGCTAGTACTTTATCAGGATACCTCAAAGAAAGCATCGCTTTGTTGGCATGTTTTGGGGGCCAGGAATATTGTGACGTTGTTCTCCCATCTCTGCCTTGATTTCCCTTCTCAGCACGATTCTCACTTGTGCTTTCAGCTGCCGGCATAATGAAGGCAGCAGCGTATGGCAACACCACTGTTGAAAGGACCACACGGCATGACACGGTCAACGCCGCAGCGTACGGAGATGACACGCTCAACGCAGCGGCCAAACCAGCGGGCAAGAACGACACGAGGAGGGTTCTCGTGACCACCAGCAGTATCATCGCCACCAGCGGCGGCAGCGGCGGTGGAGCTGCGGGCGAGAAGGTCAACGCGAGGAGGGCTCTCGCGACCACCCCCAGCACCCCCAGCTTGCAGGTTGCGACGGCGGTGGTGGTGGGCAAGACGCGGCTGGACTTCAGCAAGCAGGTGTGCGTGAGCTGTGAAAAGAGAACGAGAATGGAGGAGTTTCACTAGCAGCAATGAGGATACATATAGCAAACCCCAGATGGGTTGTACTCGCTATAGAGCACCCCACTACAGGCTAGAGAATAACATTCTGACACACCCCTATAGCCAAAGTGGGGTGTAATTAGCACAATGAGCAAGCAGGCATAGAGTAGGAGTTCACAATAGGTAAGTAAGGCTAGAGCTAATCACAGAGGGCAAGTGAGGAGGAGGAGAGACTGTGGGGGAGAGAAGATGGGAGGCGACTGCTGACGCTGCAGACACACAGACGAGCTGCTGGCTCAGTGGCTACCGAAGCAAAGGCCCGGACTACAGGAGTAACTGGCTCCGCGGCTAAAAGTAGCGGCAGACGAGCAACTGACCCACAGGCGACTGGCGACTACCGGAGATTGTAGCCTCCGGACTGCTGGTGCTGTTGACGACAAGACTGCTGCCTCCACGCAACCTCCCCCAGCTGCCCAACGCCCCTCTCACACACCCCCTGCTCAAGCCCTAACCCTACACCCACAGCACCCCCGTAAACCCTAAACCCCAAACGCCCACACATCCACCTCCCTCAAAACCCTAGCTCCACTCCCACAGTACCCCCCTTAAACCCTAAACCCCCGGGGGGGGGGCGACGCGCGGCCTCCGAGGGCGCCAAAGCAGGCGGCAAAAGGGGCGACGCTGGCCCCCCCCCCCCCCCCCCCCCCCCCCCCCCAGGTTGCCGCGGCCCCCGAAGGAGCCGCGACGGGCGACGGGAAAAGGGGGGGGGGGGGCGGTGCACCGGTGCGCCGCGGCTGGCGGCGGGGCATGGCCGGGGCGGGGCCGGGGCCGCTGTAGGCGGCGACGGGGCCGAGGAAGGGCGGCGACGGGGCCGCTGAAGGGCGGCGACGGGGCCGCTGAAGGGCGGCGACGGGGCCGCTGAAGGGCGGCGACGGGGCCGCTGTAAGGGGCGGCGACGGGGCCGCGGAAAGGGCGGCGTCGGGGCCGCTGAAAGAGCGGCGACGGGGCCGCGGAAGGGCGGCGACGGGGCCGCTGAAAGGGCGGCGACGGGGCCGCGGAAGGGCGACGACGGGGCCGCTGAAAGGGCGGCGACGGGGCCGCGGAAGGGCGGCAACGGGCCGCGAAAGGGGCGGCGATGGGGCCGCGAAGGGGCCGCGAGGGGCCTGGAAGGGCGGCAACGGGGCCGCGAAGGGGCCGCGAGGGGCTAGGAAGGGCGGCAACGGGGCCGCTAAGAGAAGCGCAAGGGGCACGCCACGGGGCGTGCCGAGCACAGAGTAGCAGCGGAAGCAGTTGGGTCCTAGGATCGGAACCACTCTGATAACATGTGAAAAGAGAACGAGAATGGAGGAGGAGTTTCACTAGCAGCAATGAGGATACATATAGCAAACCCTAGATGGGTTGTACTCGCTATAGAGCACCCCACTACATGCTAGAGTATAACATTCTGACATGCGCGTGCCCAAGAAGGCGTGGCAGAAGAGCGCGACGGTGTGGTGGAAGGGCGGCGAGGACTCGAGCACCGTGTCGGCAGGCGGTCAGTGCGCGCAGGTCAAGTTCTTCAGTAAAGCTGTCTGCCAAGGCACGGCGCTAGACAGCATCGCCAACCCGTGCACGTCTGGGTGAGTTGGGGTCGGTCGTGTGTCCGTGTGAGATTAGGGTCGTATGTCTATGTGACTTGGGGTCATGCACGGCACAACAATAGGACGCGAGCATTGCATGAGTGGGGGAGGAGGGGATGGGGAGGGGAAGGGAGGAGGAGGAAATGGGAAGGGAACGTTTTTTGGGTTGCGGAGCAACCTATTGCAATCAACAGAGACAACTTTTTTTTTCGCAATTGTTTTTCAAAATCCTAGTAAAAAAATGGAAAAAGAGAAGAAGAAAACTCTGGATAAGTTAAATAATCGTAACATATATGCTACCATTGTTTTTCCTTCACATTGATTTAATGCATATCTTTATGTTGTAAATCAGTCATCTATATAGATATATTTCGCAAGACTGCTAACTCTGAAAATTTGCTGGTCATTGCTACTCTAAATCGTTCCTTTGTATCGCGAAAGATAGTGAAATTTGAACATATGTGGAGAAATGCAATAACCGACCAAACGATAATTGCATTTCTTGTGATGCAAGGAAAACAGGAATGAGAATGACTAAGGAAAGATTGGGTACAAATACAACCCTAGAAACCCTGTACCCCATATGTGCTACCCCACTATAGCCTACAGCAACTATGTCATATAAATCTGACACACCCCCATAGGCAAAGTGGGGGAGAACAAGGGGTCACAAGACCAGTCAAGTAAAGCAAAGCAGAGCAAGCTCAGGGTGGATCACAACGTCACCACACAGTCCGAGCACAAGAGCAGGGCCAGTGGCCAGTTCACATGCAGGAGTACAGACATATATATAAAACTAGACAAGCAAGAGCAGGTATATATATATGTCACAGTACAAGTGAAGTCAAGAGGAGAGCAAGTGAGGCAAGACAGGTACAAGACCCAGCTGGGTGCAAAAGCGCTGATGGTCACAAGGCGCGAGTGCCTTGGTGAACACATCAGCAGTGTTGGCCTCAGAGGCCACGTACGCAAGTCGCAACTGACCACGCTGCTGCAGCTCACGAGCAAGGAAGTAGCGGAGAGCAATGTGCTTCGTTCTGTGCTCCAAGCGCTGCTCTCGACACAAGGCCAGCATGGCCTTGTTGTCTACGTACAGCACTGGAGGAGAACGAGGCGGCTCTCCAAGGTCAGTCAGCAGGTAGGTGAGCCAGCGAAGCTCCTGTGCAGCCATGGCCCCGGCGTAGATCTCAGCCTCGCAACTGGAGCCGAGAACCGAAGACGAGCGAGTAGACCGCCACGAGACAGAGCCGGAACCAAGGCTGAAGGTGTAACCCTGTGACGACCGCTGCGTAGCCTGGTCGTCAGCCCAAGAAGCGTCCGCGTGGCCGGTAAGGACCACTGGACTCCGCCCTCCAAGCACTAGCCCCATGCCCGACGTGCTGCACAGGTAGCGCAATACCCTCTTCGCTGCAGCCATGTGCTCCGGTCTGTGTCTCCCAGGAGCAACATAGCGAGCAAGAATGCTCAGAGGGTATGCAAGGTCAGGTCGTGTGCAGGTCATCAGGTACATGAGGCAGCCAACAAGCTCTGCATACGGACCACTCGACTCTACGGACTCATCCGAAGGCAGAGCTGAGAGTGAGTGGCGAGTAGGCAGAGGAGTGGCCTGAGGCGAGGAGTACGTGAAGCCGAAGCGCTGAAGGACCTGCTGCACCATGTGTGACTGAGTCAAGGTAATGGTGCGGCGTGCTCTGTCCCGAGTGATCTGCAAGCCAAGGTAGCTGCGCAGTTCACCCAGGTCTGTGCACGTGTGTCTCTTCAGCAGCTCGGACTTCACGTAGGCGAGTCCAGCAGTGTCTGCTGTGGCAAAGACCAAGTCGTCGACGTACACGAGGATGTAGAACGGCGGCAGGGAAGTGTCGGTGCGAAGAAACAGCGACGGGTCAGCAGTAGAAGGAATAAACCCAAGAGCCGCAAGCGTAGTCCTCAGTGTGTCGTGCCACTCACGCGGTGCCTGGCGGAGACCGTAGACTGGCCGTCGGAGGCTCCACTGGGTGCCAGGAGGGAAAGTCCCAGTGAAGCCAGGTGGACGGCGAAGCCAGATCTCCTCGTGCAGGCTACCCTGCAAGAACGCAGTGCTGAAGTCGAGAGAGTGAAGCTCGTAGTCGCGCTGAGCGGCTATGTGCAGCAGCACCCGAAGAGTAGTCATCTTCGGGGTGGGAGAGAAGGTTTGAAAGTAGTCAACTCCCTGCCGCTGACTGAAGCCACGAGCAACGTACCGTGCCTTGAAGACAGGTGGAGAGCCCGGAGGCCGCTTCACCCTGAAGATCCACATGCCACTGACGATGTTCGCCCCAGGTGGGGGAACCGCGTCAACGTAGGTGCCTGTGGACTTCCAGGAAGCCATCTCTGCATCCATAGCTGCCTGCCACTGAGAGGAGTAGGGACCCTCTACGGCCTCCGCGTAAGAACGCGGAGTCGGGATGTCTAGTGCATCCGGGTCTCCCTCAGGGGCAAGCAGTACAGACGCGAGATGAGGTGAAGCAGCAGCCAGACACTGGAACTCCTCCTGCCTGTCCTCAAAGACGTCCGTGCCAAGAGCACACTCACCCCCGACGGACGGAGGACAGACAGACGCAGACTCAGCAACAAGACTAGCAGCGTAGTCTAGACGACAGCGAGCAGCAAAGTCGACGAGCTCAGCAACAAGAGCAGACGCAGCAGTGGACTCAAAAGAGGGGTCAGTGACGACAGTAGCAAGGAGACGCGTGACAGTAGGACTGGCAGCACGAAGAGAGTCCGACTCCGGGTCGGCAAGCGCAGGAAGAGAGGACTCAGGAGGAGAAGGCAAAGGGGCACGCAGAGGAGCAGTGGACGGACGCAGAGACATCCGGTGCGTGCCAGGGACAGGAGGAGGACGCTGACGCGAACTGCGACCACTAGCGCGAGCAGTGCGAACAGGCGACGCGGGACGAGACGCAGGCTCACGACGCTCAGCAAGACCTCCAGTAGGACCAGTGTAAGGAGAGGGAGCAGGCAGTGGAGAGGAAGGCTCCAGCAGTGACTGCGACTGGACAGGCGGTGGACCCTCTACTGGAGGAGAAAGACCAAGAACCTGCTGCAGGAGCGGAACGAAGTACGGCCGAGGCTGCGCGGCAGCTCCAGACGCAGCAGGGACAGCACCAGCACCCTCAGCGACAGCACCAGTGCCACCCACACCTCCAGCGGCAGGACCAACAGCAGTAGGCTCAGCACCAGCGCCCTCAGCAGCTCCAGCTCCAGGAGGACCCGCAGGTCCAGCAGCTCCGGGACCGGCAGCACCCGCACCCTCGACGGTCGAAGAAGCTCCAGCTCCAGCTCCAGCAACACCCCCAGACTCAGCAGCACGCCTCCAGCGGCGAGCGAACCACTCGCGCAGCTCCTGTGGAGAGAGGGGCTCCCGGCGAGACGCAGCAGCAGGAGAAACCCCAGGCCCAGCAGCTCCCGACCCAGCACCCCCAGACCCAGCACCTCCAGGCACAGCACCCCCCGGCTCAGCACCCCCAGGCTCCGCACCCTCCGCAGTAGCACCCTCAGGCCCAGCACCCCTAGCAGTAGCACCCCCAGGCTCAGCACCCCCGCGTACAGCACCCCCAGAGTAAGCACCCCCAGGCTCAGCACCCGCAGCAGCACCAGAGTCACCAGTAACCTCGACCGGGTCAACGGCGTCTACCTGGGACACACCTGAGGGGGCAGGAACCTGAGGGGGGAGGGGGTCTACCGGGGGGGGGAACCGGCACAAGGAAGTCCGGGGGAGGGGGGAGGGAAGGAGTGCGGTAGGGGAAGAGACGGTAGAAGGGGACTGACTCGTCGAACGTGACGTCCTGGGAGGACAGAACACGACGAGAGGAGGGGTGGTAAAACTGCCACCCTGGGGCGTCAGTGGGGAAGCCAAGGAAGACACAGGGAGCAGCACGAGGGGACAGCTTGTCCGCAGACAAGTCGCGGACAAACGCCCGAGATCCCCAGACACGGAACACAGACGCATCGCCAACCTTCCCCGTCCACAGCAAGGCTGGGGACATCGCAGGCCGAGAGACCCGGGGGTGAAGGTTGAGCTGATGCGCCGCGTACCTCACCGCAAACGGCCACAGAAAATGGGGGGCAGCCGCATGCATCATGGACGTACGAGCGACATCCATGACCATGCCAATGCGGCGCTCAGCAATCCCATTTTGCTGTGGTGAGTCCGGGAGCGTGAAGGTCTGGCAGATCCCCCGTGCACGACAGTAGTCCCGT